TCTGGCCAGAGCCACCTGCTGGTCTGATCGGTAACTACACGCCCACCAAAGGGGGAGTTATTAGACGTTAACTTCCCGATAGCAGGGACCGTGCCATTTTCACTACCAAAACCCAAGTGCACTGCGTCTGGCACGAAATATGAACTCAGCAAATACTTGACAGTAACGAGAGTGAAAGCAACAGAACCTAAAGAAAGATCTGGAAACAAGAGAAGGGACGAGCCGCCTAGAGAGGCAGCGAAGAACTGAGTGTGAAAGAGCTGGACCCCGAGAGAAGCTCTCAGGGCCGCACCCCTTACCTGGCATGCCGAGGAGGCCACCTGGCACAGACAGCTGGGGTGCCTGTGCGAAGTTGGAAAGCATGGAACGGGCAGATGTGGGCATGCCACGCTGGAGGCTGCTTTGGGGCTGTGGTGCCTGCAGTGACGGAGAGAGAGGTCATCACGACCTGCCACGACGGGCTTTGAGGGTGGTAAGGGTACGGGGGGTGGGGGAGCAGATGCGCAGCATGATTCCCTTAGAAGAAAACACAAGTTGGGACAAATGGCTGACGGGCCCGCGAGAGAACTGCTCACCTGCCGAAGCGTGTGATGTCTCATTATGGTCTCCTGTTTACTGACACTGGACACAGCGGGGGCCGTGGTGGGGGAGAGGGCTGCCTGCTGCTGTAGCCGCTGTTCGATCTCCTGTTGGGAGTCATCAGGTCAAGGTGGGCGGGGCAGCCCCCAATTTCCTAACCAGAAAACCTAGGTGTCTTCTTATCGCTAATGCTGCCGGCTAGTTGGAGGGACATGGAAGAGGCAAGAGAGTACGGTGGGGTAGGTGCACCGACGACTCTGGGCACAAGCAGCCAACACGCTTCACCGAATAAGGGGTCCCTCCCTCCAGGAAAGCTGTGGGGCATGTCTTTGAGAGTGGCTGGAGAGAGCTGGGGAGTGGCAATGAGCTGATCGATATAATGAAGGCTGATGAGTTACTGAGATTTTATTTTTGATTCCCATCTACCCATTTTCCAGAAGGTTCGTGATGCTACTCAAAGGAGTCTGATGGGTGATGTGGTAGAAAATGGGACAGAGGAAAAGGACTTGAGCCTCCTCCCAACACACCCACTGTGCGAGACCGTCCCACTGCGTTGAGGCCACAGGAGGCGCCCACACACCAGCGCCACCGCTTTTTTTCTCGCCACCCTCCCCTTTCTCTGTCGTCTCTTTGTCAAATATGAACTGCAAATAACTGCTTCTCTCAAAGAGATTTCCGATACAAATACAAATCCTTCCCAACAAAACGCGTTTGTTTGAAGAGGAAATGCAGTCAAGTAGAGGGGCTGCTTCTGTGCTACTAGGGAAAGCCACGCGTCTCGGCCTCTGCCCTTGTCCCTTAATCTCAGCCATTCGGTATCACTCACTGCTCCCACCCATCAGAAGCCATTGACCGGAAACAGAAGACATAAGGATGAGAAGAAAAACGGAGACCCAGGCCTGTGGGTTCCAGGAGCCCAGACCCTCAGACTGCGGGGATCACAGACACAGCTGCTCTGGCCCAGAAGTGCGCCCGCTGGGGGACGCCCGCCTGGGCGGAGGCAGCGAGAGGCCAGGCGTCTCACCTGCTCCTGCTGCAGAGCTTTCACGAACGCGTTTTTCAGCCGGTTGGTGTGCTCGGCCTTGAGAGCCTTCTTCTGGTTGGAGGTCATGCATTGCTCGCGCAGAATCTTAACGCTCTTCTCCTGCTTCCAGTGAGGGGTGAAATCCGTGCGGCACTGGGCACAAACAAAGGGTTCGACCCGCAGGAGTGAGGCACAGCTTTTGCCTAGATGCCAACAGAAAGAATCGTCAGTGCCTCCGCGTTCCCTCCCTCGCCTGCTTCTCTTCATCAGACGACTCTACTCCCAGGAGTGCACTGCGCTGAGCTCAGAAAGAGACCACAGAAAGCATGCCCCGTCGTGCACGGGGTACTTTTACTCCCTTTGGTCGTACCAGCATTACTTTAGTGAATTCAGACAGTACGCCCTTTGCAAATGAGGAAACTAAGTCTAAGAAGCACAACTCCTGAATGACGACGCTGGGACAGGAACCCAGGTGTTCAGATTTCCTGCTGTATCCCAACGAGAAGAAAATGTGTGTCGATTCAGAGTCGGAGTCACCTCACTCAGCCACCACCATGCTTCCTGGCACCTCTACCTCAGAGTACACTTACCCTTGTCACACGTCTGTAATTTTAGTTACCAGTGCCTACGTCACTCACTTCGTGACCCGTTTCTAGCCGATACTGAGCCCTCTAGGCACTTTACTGCCGGGTGTCCCCCTAAGTTCGTATGTTTGCAAATCCAGACTTAATACCTCTGTTAGTACAGACTGCACGGTGTTACTACTTTACAGTCTGGTTCAGTGCTGGTTTACCAGCTTTCATGTGGTCAGAGTTATCTACGTCAGTATGTCTGTGTTCTCAACTAGAAGCACTCCAATGGCAGGGGCTGAATATAACAAAGCAGCACAATGTCCCATAAACACTGACATTAAAAATAAGTGATCCCGTCATTAAATTATGCATGTGTCATGCCAGGCACCCTTTAAAAGAATTAAATGATATACTGCAAAAAATACACAAGATACACGACAAAAGCCTTAAGCCTAAAATATACAGAGACACACAAAGGCTTTTCTGATATGTTGCTCCCACAGAGCCTCTGAAAAAGGAATGGGAGGTCGCTCGGCACCAGTAAGAAGAGGCTGTTTAAGATGACGCGGTACCCTGTGTTACTCTGCTCACGTCAATCGGGCTTGGCAACCTCTTCTCTAGAAAGACTGACCAGAAGAATCGGTCTTACCTTGGCTGTCGATGACACTCTGTACGACTTCTTCCAAGCCTACCATGTAGATGAACTCGCTATTGGCCGCACTAGGCAGGAAGTGGAGCAAGGGAGCGGGAGGTTTAGGGGGTGGAATCTCCAGGAGTGTCTTTTCCAGCTGTTTGCGAAGAGCCAGTTTGGCTGCGGCCTGTGAGTTGGCAGCATCGGTCATGGCGCTGGGGCTAGGAAGTGGTGAGGACACTCTGTTCACGGTCCCTGGCTGGATATGGGAGGCGAGGTTCATATAGATGGCAGAAGATGTTGTCCGCTGACAGGGAACAGAAGAACTTGACTGCTGAAACAGAGCAAGTACGGGGGTTGGTGATGGCATGTGGAAGAAAGGACCAACTCTTGCCTTCGGGGCAGAGAAGACTGTTTGGTCCTGGTCTGGACCACTTAGCTCCCCCAAAACTCAGAAAAAGACAGGAGGCGTGCAACCTCACGGGGGAACGCTGGTGGCTACGAGCTGTGACGGCCGAGAGCAAAGTCCCAGTCGGCGCTGCCTGTCATATGCCCCACGCCCCTTGTGCCCTGGCCCCGCCCCCTCTCTTCTAGGTGGGTTTCAGCTCACTGCTGCTCTGCCGCATAACCTCCCTTCCCCACTGCTACTTTCATGCGATTCCTCGATGCTTCTGGTTTGGGGACAGCTGTCCCAGCTCCACCAAAATTATCCTTTTTGTCTTAGAGTTTCTCTTTGTCCGAAAACGTAAAATCTACGGTCCTTTCAACAAGGAAAGGAAATAAAAAGATTTCCGTTTCCAAACCGGGGCTCTCTTACCGGTTGGTAATTGATGGCGGGATTCATATTGGGTGTTGTGGTGCGTACGAGGCCGGGCTTAGGCGGGCCCCGCTGACCCTGGAGCTGGGCTGGGTTTGGGGCAATCACACGCTGAGACATCAGCATGTGTGGGAGGGTGGTATTGGTCGCTGAGCGGATGACGCTGTGACCCTAAAGGGGAAGAAAAGAACAAGTCATAGGTAGTAAAATGCCCCACAAAATGCTCAAGGGAAAACACTACCTGTAACACACAGCCGAGTAGAAGCTCAGAAACACAGACAGACTTGGTGATTATCTAATGACCTCTGAGAAATCTACCATCACCGCAAACCCTTATTCGTGGCCAGGAATTCCCGGCTTTTGTGGTATCGGCTACCTAACCGTACATGGGAAAGGGCTAAGCTGGAAACCTTCCCCAGAGAAGAGAAACTACAGTGGAAAGAAGAGGGTTATTCATCCTTCTGTTGCAGACTAAATCATGCCATAAAGCAAGGGTCCCCAAACCGCCGGGCCACGGACTGGTACTGGCCCATGGCCTGTTAGGAACTGGGCTGCACAGCAGCAGGTGAGCGGCGGGTGAGCTGGCGAAGCTGTAACTGTATCTGCAGCCGCTCCCCAGCGCCAGCATCACCGCCTCAGCTCCGCCTCAGCTCCAGATCATCGGGCATTAGATGCTCTGTATTCCCCGGTGCCAAAAAGGTTGGGGACCTACAGGACTATCTCATATCTGCAGTAATAACACCTCTATCGTGGCCGGATCCTTCTGTAACCTTTACCCAAGCCCTAAAACAAAGAAGGGATAAGCTGGGCCCTCGGACACTGAGACCCACCACAGGTCACATACCTGTAACGTTCTCAGATTCTGAGGCTCGACCCCTTGGGCACCCGGCCGGGAGGGGAGCTTGGATAGGCCCTGCTGCCCCACGTGGGCCGGTGATGGCTGAACAATAGACGCCGCGTTCTGTACAACTGGAGTCTGCGGGGGGAAGAGCAGAAAATCAGACAGCAGAAAAGCTAACGATCAGAGGTAGGAATCTGGTACGTTTCTATACTTTCAAAATTCTTTGTCAGTGTGAAGCTCCTACTGACCAGGAGGAAAAAGGAGAAAAATAGAATCAAGGTTTTCTTGATTAAGGCCTAAGGTTAAAAAAAAAAGCACTCTTCCTAAACTTAAAAACTATGGGAGGACAGAATAAGAAGCCACCCAGCTGGGCCCATGGGGGCAGCCCCCTTTCCGGCCCGGTCCCCTCCTGTCCCCTGGTCCCTTGCTGCTGGGCCGCAGTACCTTCTGGACCACGTTCTCCTTCTGCAGCTGGCTCTGTCTCAGCTTCTTTAACAGCACCAGTCGGGCTTCCTCCAGTCGCAGCTCGTCCCTCAGCTGCTTGATGAGCTGCTGCCGCTCCTCGATGCCTTTCCCCTAAGGACACATGGAGACTGTCAGCTACAGCAGCAGGGCCCAGCGTCCCCTCCTGCAAGATGAGCCCTTCTTTAAGGTCTGAAACCCTCATCTTCCTCAAAAAGCAGAAGTGTCGACGGGACTGTTATCTCTGTGTCCTTGGGGCCTGGCACAGGGCCTGGTATTCAGTAGGCGCAGTAAGTCCTCACTGAACATCATTAATAGGTTCTTGGAAACTATGACTTTAAGCTAAGTGACACATAATGAAACCAATTTTATCACAGGTTAATTGCTATAAACAAGAGTTAGGTCCTCATGGCATATTTCTGGTTACAAAAGCACTGCCAAACTTCTAAATAAAAACCAAAACATTTTTCTTTACTTTTTTTTTTTTTTTTAAAGGTGAGGCAACCCTTGGTTGACCTCACAGATTGCAAGGACCTTGTCAGCTTATAATCCCTTATTTTTTACGCCTACAGCACCTGGTCTTCCTAGGTGGTCTCCCATCCAAGTACTGACCAGGCCCGACCGTGCTTAGCTTCTGAGATCAGACGGGATCGGGCTTGTTCAGGGTAGCATGGCCATAGACCCAAAACATTTCTAATATTAAACACTGAAATAGATGTGAGCTATGTATACATTTAAGAAAAATTAAGAAAAACAAGTAAGGTAATTATTTTTCAACCGGCTTGTTCCAGTCCACGGTCACAAGAGCCTGGAGCGTCTCCTAGCAGCTCAGGGTGCACGGCGAGAGCCGGCCCTGCACAGTGGGACCCAGGCCCAGTCACGCTAGGATAATTCAGACACGCCAGTTAACCTCATGTGCACATCTCTGGGATGTGGGAGGAAATTGGAGGCCCTGAAGAAAACCCACACAGACATGGGGGGGCCAAGCAAACCCCACACAGACACTGGCCTCAGCCAGGAACTGATTTTTTTTTTTTCTCGTTAACACTGTAAGAAAACGACACTGAACAAAACAGCGTCATTCAAAGAACCTGCTGTCCTCAGAAATGCTCAGGGGACCGACCACACGCATGCCAGTCAGCCAGATTCCCGGCAAAATACAAGGGTGGCCGAAGGGAGACACCGCTTTCCCTTCAAATAATGCTAAATCTTTTAAAGCCGTGTTTCCTCTGGCTACAGATAAGAAACTAAGGAATCCCCCCATATTCTGAGACCCAGGATGGTGTAGGAGGTGTCTTTCCAGCCCAAAGTTCACTTCATGTGACCTGAATTATAAAGCTGTTTTCATTTTCCAGAAATAAAATATACTGACTGCTTTTCTAGACTATCTTTCTCCACTTGATTCTAACAGGGCGCGCCCTTGAGGCTGAGACTCATTTATCCAGTTTCATCAATGGGTAGTTATTTAGATCCAAAACGTAAACCATGAATGAAAACAACAGATGGGGGCTCTTACCGAATTCAACAGAAGCACGACAAACATTTTTCTCTCTTTCTTAGTATCTGTCTTCCCCCCCGGCTCCACCTTTACCTTGAACATCTCTAAGTTGGCTGCTTTGAGTCTTTCTTCCATTCGGGAGCTGGAACGGGGACTGGAAGCCTCATTATCAGACAAAACAATGATGTCTGGGGAGGGAGTTAGCCTTCCTCGGTCTGGCTCACTAGACAAGATAAGGAAAAAATTAAGGTATTCCAACAGTGAAGGTTCACAGAAAAGTTTTAAGAAATTCTTTTCTACACTGGAAAAAGAAATCCAAGGGAACTTTTAGGTCTGTCTCAATTCACCCAAGGGAAGACAGAGAACTCAAATCCTATTAGGATAAAGAAGACACCAAGATGTAAGTGATGATAAAACCTCAGCAAAGATACTTTTCCTGTCTAAATTCCTCACAGAGGCGGTGGAGACAAAGACTGGTTTTACAAATGGAAATAAGAAATGAGCGTTCTTATTTCACTGATTTAAATCAAAATTCAAAATGTTTTCCCCACATCTCACTCTCCTTTAGGTTGTCTCATTAGTTACACAGGGGCTCGAGAAGAAAATGGCCAGCTTGACAGGGGACAGCAGGGCAAAGGCAGTGGAGCCCACCTGTCCAGCCCAGGTACAGATGATAAGGAGGCAGCTCATCGTACCGGCAACACGCGGTCCTGGCTCTCCGAGGGTTTACCAGGACGGAGGTTAATGGCAATTCCAGAGTCTACCCTGTGAAGAGCTAAGGCATGCGAAGGTCCAGCTGTCACTGGCTCGGGGGACCGGACAGCACCAAGCATAACACCCACGGCCTTCTGAAGGGCCGCAACTCCAGAACTCGACATACGGAGCTTACACCTACTTGCCAGAGTTCTACTAAGTACCTTCCCTCAGAAAGAAATGTCTAGAAACGACTCTGAGCCCCAAGTCTTCCAGACTGGCTGCCTGGTTATTAAACACCCCAGTTCTGTCTTTGTGGGGCTAGCCTCAAAGGAATCATACTCGTTTCCCTCAGATGATGAAAAATGGCACCCACCGCTTAAGACCTGGATGACAAGAATCCTGGAAATGCTGACCGAGGGTCTCAGATCGATGACCACATCTTCCTTTCCTCTAATTTCTGAACTCAAAGACGTCTTCCCAGACCCCACTTCGAGATCTCCACTGTGCTGTGGAATGTACAGGCCTAGAGCAATGTGCTCTTAGGTCTTATTTGAACATGCGGCTCGAGCTCTCACCACCCACAGCTCTTCAGTCCTGAGAGCCTCTTTCCCATGTCTCAGGGCTTCTTGTCCCAGCTGCTGTGGCACAGGTACCGTTTGAGCGAGGCACCCGGGATGGCTGGGACAGGCTTTTGATTTCTCAACTGAGTTACGAAAATCAACGAAATTTAGCTGAGAAAACGGAAGAAGGTGACAGGGTAATGGGAATGACTATTACGCTCGTGGACAGCTCTACAAGCTCGGGTCACAGGCAGCACGCTGATGACGCAGGGTTACAGGAAGAGCTGCTGCTACAGGGAGAGAAGAACCTTTCGCTCTCTAGCTCCAAGTTCCGACAGTAATGCTCAGGCCTAACAAAGCGGTTCACTTTTTGGTGACTTATTTCTCATTTCTATATTCCTTCATCCTCCATCGTCCCAACACTGACATGGGTGACCAATTCTGAGCTCTGCTAGATTTCAACTTCTACTTGATTCCCTAATATTTACACAAAAGATGTTTACATAATGTTCCACTCTGGTCCTGGCTGGATACGTGCATCACAGATTACTTCTAAGCTAAGGCAGTCTTCCTCGCTCAAACGAGTGCCACCTACTGCTTAGGGGCCGCACAGCAACAGGACAGGCAGAGATTCCTGGATGGAGATTTTGGAATTGATTGGCATTCATCAAGAAGTTGTATCTGAGAGCAACTCTAAATGATATTTTATTTCCAGATATAATCAAACCTACATTTGACAGCACAGGTAAGATAAAGCCCAAGTCAAGTTTAATTCCTCAAAAAAAAATTTTTTTTTCCACTTTGACCTGGAATTCTAACCTCATTTATCAAACTTTCCAGGGACAGAAATGATTCTGCTACTTTCTCCAACTTATATATATGATTTACAATATTTGGTGTTCTTAAGTATGAAACACTACCTGTCACGGAGACATTGAAAGCCGGGCTTGCTGCTCACATCACATTCGACTCAGACTGGCAGGTTCCCAGAAGCTATAGAATGCCTAACCCTCAACCCAGTAGTAAAAACAACAGAAAGAAAACTGCCATGTCTCTCTAGCATTCCGAAATCGAAGCAGTATTAGTTGCATGCACACCTTACTGCATAGATACATCTTGCCCCAATCATGGGGGAATAAAAAGATACTTAGGGAATTGTGATATGGTTATCATGTCAAAAGCTCTTCTTTCTGCTTCTTAAATTCTTTCTTCCTTTTATCCATATCAACGAAACCATTGTTCTCCTTGCTGAGCAATCTATCAATCTTATTCAGTCTTATAAGAAGCTTGAGGCTAAGTGCAAATCGCTGTCACGATATCTGATGAGAGGGAGGAAGAGAGACACAGGCCCAGAGGGCCTATTTTTGCCATGTGGAACGGGATCTAGATGGTTTGCATCGAGCCTCTCCTCCTGGAGACCACTGAAAACAATTCCCAGTTTCTAGAGGAGCAAGTTTCAGAAGTTCACCCCTCAAAATAAAATTAAAAGCAGTGGTAGGGTTTTCAGAGGAGCCTGACTTTTTAACACAGAATTCATCTGTGATAGCAGACAATTCCAATAACACCGAGGTCTTACCAAAATATGTAATATTGTTTCTGTGAAAAATGCATCTTCAGTTTTTCTGTGAAAAATGCATCTTCTGATTTGGGATATGAGGAATCCACCCAATATTTTTCCTCTTCTTCCTCCTCAATGAAGCAGTAGTACTCACTGGCTCCAGAAGGGAAAGGGGGTTCTGGGGGGCAATTGGGGTGCTCGGGTGCATGATCTCATTCACCTACTCTCTTTTTTCCCAAAGGATCTAAAGATTAATCTACTTTCATAATATTCTGCTGACACTACCTACAGCTTCCAAGAATTTTTTCCCTCACCCAGGACCACTAGGAAATTTATCTAAAATTTCCTAAGAGTTTCTAATACAACACCAAGAATTATGTTGCCTCACTGGGTGTTCTGGGTAAGGTGATAACCATTCCACCCTTCTTTTTCTTTCTGCATCGGTCTAGCTTAAAGACCCTACTGTGGATCAGCTCGAAGACAAAGTCAGAAGGCCAGCTGGAGGGCAACCGGACACTGAAGAGTAATTCGCAAACTGAATGTTCTTAAAACTACGGTTTGTCTACACTGTGATTCACTGTCAAGGTAGGCTCTGCCTCTAGCCAGTTCTAGGTACCTCTTCTGTGTGCTCTGTAGTTTCAAGTACTCGAGAAGACACCAGAAAAAAGGCCTGTGAAAACTGATGTTGCACGTGAGAGAGCACAAGCATGAGTGCACACGTGCGAGCGCACGTGTACGCACATGTGGAGGGTGGGGGAAGTGGCACGGATGAAGCAGGGAGGCACAGAGTCACCCCGCGAAGATAACGTCCTTGTCCATAAAAGAAAAGACGGCCCCGGATTTCTGGATGTAACAAAAGCTGGGACTCCAAAGTAAACAGATCCAGAAACTCATGGGATGATCTGAAGACCAGGCTGTTTTTCCTCTTAAAATGGCCGTAAGATTAGAGTGAAAGTGTATATTAACTCACTTTTAACTGGGGTATCAGCTCTATAGTGCCTCCTTTATCCAGAAATGACCACTTTGTCTAAAGAGTGAGAACTACGATTTTCTGTATGCTAAGCAAATTTTTGAGGCACCTAGTTTCATTTGGAAACGCGAGGAATTCAGGGTCAATTAAGATGGCACAGATACGACTTCTTTTAAGAAACTTAAGGATGAAAACCACCCTGCTCTCCCTGGAATTCATCCCACTCCCATGGGCTTATAGCTGATGAGACGACCCCGCCCACAGAGGCAGCTGACCCGGCCATACCTCCGCCTGGCGCTCATATCCACGGGCTCGTCACTGATGTTCTCTTTGCCTGGCCTTCCAGCAGTCCTGCTGTCGCCGTGAGGCCTGAGATTCCCGTTGAGTTTCTCTTCATAGCCCTTGACACCACTGCCATCCTGTTTAGTGGGTAACTCATGCGGCACCTCGAGATTTGCCAAATCCTTCCGCTTGAGCAACGCCAACATTTTCAGACGCTCCATAGCCTCGTGCCCCTCCATTTTGAGTCGCTTGGCCAGGACGTCATCTCGCTCGTCCGCTGGGTCCAAGCTCCGCTTCAATAGATTCAGGCGAAGAGCATCTTCCGTCATTCTGTCCATCCTGTGGAAAGAAGTCAGATCAGAGCTGAGGCCCTTAAAGACAGAAGAAGGGAGTAAAGGTATTAAGAAGATGGAAGTTCAAAGTTAACTCAGCTAACCTCCTACCTGGTATCTTCCTAGAAACTAAAGAAACTACAAATACTCTCCAGTCACTGAGGCCCAAACTGCACGCCTGAAACTCGGCACCACACTCATCTGGACAGTCCATTAAGAGCCGACATCTCAAAAAAGAAACCTTGTTTTGTGCATGCATGCTCGGAGTCAGATGCTTTGATTTTAGCTCTCATTCCAAATTTGTCTCCTGGAAAAGACTCTTATGAATAGGAAGTTCCTCAGGTCACATACACGGACCTTAAATTCGCCTATCTTATGAATGGAGAAACATGAGTAAGATGCATTAGACAAAATGTCTCTAACAGGAAGCCTCAGTTGTCTGGATACAGCAAGTATCAGAGGAGCCTATTGTTAACTGCCCTCAATTCCATACAGACATAGATTCAATACCATAAGATACTTGGCTTTGTTTAATGAAGAACTCAGGTGCTTAGGCTGATAACAGGTTAGTATTTTCTCTACTCATGCAGCAAAATTATTAAAGGCGAGCTAATTATCATTTGCCCTTCTTTGATTTTTTTTTACACTAACGAAATCTAGATGCAGAATTTCTCCAGCACTTTCAGACCCAGGGCTGTTCCCTGGAAGGAAACAGCCAGGAGGCACTGCAAAGACAAAATTCTGAGTCATAGTAACGTAGGTCTGAACTGCTACTTACTTCTATAAGGCCAAACAGTCAATGTTACTTTATCTCCCTGTCTCAATTTCATCTGTAAAAGAGGGCACTTAGATGGTGCTAAACAAAATTTAATTTCTATACCCTTGGGCTATGACTTCCATACCTAAGATATGAGATAAGGCCCGCTAATTCAAACACTCAACTAGTAAGACAGAGGAGACTACCCATGTTAATTGGTGCTCCTGCAAAGAAAAATATGCAAGTGCTTGAGGCATCTTCCTGCACTGCAGAGTAAAATAACAGCTATTCGATTCTTTTCTGGTTATAATGAAGAAAAAGAGTAACCAACAAAAAAATTTCCAATAAAAAGAAACAGACCTTTTGGAAACCAGAGAAGTCAGAACCCAAATCTCTGAAATTTGGGGGTAATGTTTCTTAATTCTCTTTTTTAAAGGCCAGATTTATGGATATATAATTCACATATCATACAGTTCACCTAAAGTGTATAATTCAATGGTTTTTAGTATATTCACAGTTAAACATCATCACGATCGACATTTTAGAACATTTTCATCATCTCCTCCCTAAAAATCCCATGCTCATTAGCTGTTTTCCTCCCTCCCCCCACCCCATGCCTGTCCATCACAGATTTACTTCCTGTCTCTAAATCTGCTCATTCTGAACTTTTTATATAAGTGAAATCATATGTAGTCTTTTGTGACTGGCTTTTTTCACTTAGCATTATGTCTTTAAAGGTTCATTCATGTTGTAACATGTCATTACTTCTTATCTCTTTATGGATGAATGATATTCCACTGCGTGAATATCTATTTTGTTTTTCCATTTATCAACTGATGGATGTTTGTTTCCTCCCACCCCCCACTTTTTGCTATTATGAATAACGCTGCTGGGAATTTTGTGTACAAGGTTTTGAGCAGCATGTGTTTTCAATTCTCTTGGGCATATACCTAGAAGCAGAATTCCTGTCGTGACTGCTTTCCACAGTGGCTGCACCATTTTACGCTGCCACCAGCAGTGCCCAAGGGCTCCCATTTCTCTGTTCTCTTAGCTCTCTTTTTACAGTTTCAGATATGAGGCATATTACATATCATAGAAAAACATTCTTAAGTTACGGGTCTCTGGAAGATTTATTCTGACATGTGTTACTTCTGAAGTGGTTTACCTCTGAAAAGTACCCCCAGATGGAGTGACTGGAGAGCTGAATGTCACATAGAACACCAAAAGCCTAAGCCCCACTGCACAGTGACAGTGTCCTGGGCAACTTGATCAGCACCTTATGTTGAGAGCACAACTGAGAATACTGTGGGGAGGTGTGGAGGATGGGAAGAGTGTGTCATTCAACTAATTATGCACCTAGATGCAAAAAAAAACTTCAGGAAAGTACACAGCAAGATATAGAAATGTAAATTAATACAGTTCAGTGTTCTAAGCTTTGAGATAAATTATATTCGCGAGCACTGAAAATCTATGACAAAAACTCAATAACCCAGAGCTAAATGGAGTTTGGGATGCTATCATTATCTTGGCTTCGTGAACAGTTATACAAACAAGTGAAAGCAGTTCAAATAATCCCCCTTATTATACTACAAAGACGCAGATACCCTGAAAGTTTGGAGAAACCAGAACCAGACAGTTGAATGCCTAAGGTAAGTAATCTTTCCCAAGCGATGGCTTAACAACTCTGACCAAATTTTCCTTGCCCAGTTTTTTTTTTAATTGAGGTAACAGTGGTCTATGACATTCCATAACTCGTGTGTACAACGTCCGTATCCACTACAGCGCGCTCACCACCCCATGTCTCGTTTTCACCCGTCACCATGCCATGGCTCCCTTTACTCACTTCGCCCTCCCCCATCCCTCTGCTAGCCACCGGCCTGCTGTCTGTATCTAGGGGTTAGATTTTGTTTTGTCTGTTGTTTATCTTCTACACACGAGTGAGATCATAGGGTGTCTGTCTTTGTCTGCTTCCCTCAGCATTAACACCCTCGTGGTCCGTCCACCTGTTGCGAACCCCTTGCCCACTCTGGGCCTTACAGACCTACCAGCCCCGACTGCACGCGCTCATAGCTACGCCTGCCGCAAAACCCAGGAGAACACGAATCCATCCTGGAAACGTCACGCCAAGTAGGCCAGACACAGAAGGACAGACATTTTACGGTTTCACTCACATGAGGTACCCAGAACAGGCAAATTCCCAGAAACCGAAAGTAGAGGTTGCCAGCAGCTGAGGTGGTGGGGAGCCTGTGCGGGGTATTATTTAATGGGAACAGAGTCCCTGGGATGAAGAAAAAGTTCTTAAAATAGACAGGGGTAATGGTTGTGTAACACTGTAAATGTACTTAAAGCTGCTGAACTATACACTTAAAACGGTAAATTTTACGTTACGTATATTTTGCCACAATAAAAAAATTTCTTAAAAATTCGATGTAAGAGAGCCTGATTAAAAATGGCACAATCTTTTTGAGATTATAGAAATGTTTTAAAACTGGGCTGTGGTGATAGCTAGCTGCACAACTCTATAAATTTACCGAAAAATAAAAAATAAAATCACTGAATCGTACACCTACATTATACTCCAATAAAGCTGTAAAATATTCAACGTAAACTTGTCACACATAAATTCCTCTCAAAAACAAAACAAAACAAAACTTCTGTAAAATGACTGGTGTTATGTTGCCTTTTAAGGCCTAACCAATCTTCTTTGTTTCTTCTGGGCTGCTAATAACAACTAATATTTCTTAGTTACTTAAAAGCCAAACATGCTACTAGCCACTTTGTCATGTATATTTATTTAAATTTCCTCAACAAGTTACTAAGAGGTAGTATCCCTACTTTACAGGTTGGGACAAGTGTCAAATCAAGAATCCCAAGACTGCAAAGTTTTAGACAGTGAATCTGGAATTCCAACACTGGTCTAGCTCACTTCAAAAATCTGACACAGTACGTCTCCCAGCTCAAAGTTAGATTAGCTTAAGAAGCGGTGTTGTATATTCACGTGTTTACACATCCATCCATTCCCCCCACCACCACCCCAAATATTAAGTGTATATTATGTGCCACGTTCAGGGTTTGAGGTGTGAGGAATAAAGGTAAAAAAAGACTCAGTTACTGTCCTTTAACAATTTCATTCCGACAGGAGACAGGTGTGCATATAACTTAAATACACACTCGGATGTTCACATGAGCTAATTCTCCTGCTGTCCTATATCCTGCTTTTCTTCCTCATATTTCAGTGAAGAGAATTCAATTCATCCAGAGGCAAAAACTAGAAGCCTGGGAATCATCCTTGATTGTTCCTGACTCTTAAATCTAAGTTACCAAGTCCAATCAATTCTACTCTCTTCCTCTGAATGTGAAAGAGAAAATACGTAGCCCCAGCCCCGCTGTGACAGGGAAGGCAGCTTACAGACACAGCAGGCCCTGGGTGGTGGAGCACTGAGATGCGAGCTAATTACAGATAACTACCCTAAAGCCAGGCTCTGGATCCCCCTGACGTAGGCCAGTACACTCCCTTAATGTCTTAGCCAGTGTGAGCTGGGTTTTCTGCTACCTAAACTGAAAACACCCTAACAGAAAACTGTTAGAAATGCCAACGTGAAATCAAGGTGAAGATATCCTTTAAACAGGTGCACGTGCGGCAAACACACAAAAGAGCCAGAGCTGGAGACAGATAAATACTTGAACAGGTAAAGGAGGTAACCGAAGGGAATGTATGGGGATGAGAGAAACTACCCAGAAAAAAAAATGAAACACAGAAACAAAAGAGCCAAGGACAGATCCTTGGGCAATACGTATATTTAAGGGCTGGCTGTTCAGAGAACCGGGGGATGAGGAGAGCATGACATGTCGACAAGTTAGTTTCAAGAGTAGTTAACTGTGTCTGACAATTACAGCAGAAAGTGCCCAGCTTTAAATTTACTGCTGACTTGTAAAAACGAGAACGACCAGAAGGTAACACACGTGCTGGTCGGGTTTCAATCACTGCCAAAAACCAGTCTTTTCTGCAAACCAAAATCCGGGTCTGCAGGAAGGACTCAGAGGGTGCTGAGAGGGAAGAGAACGGAGGGAGAGAGACTGAGCAAAATGAATGAACATCTACCAAGTGCCGGCTACTTACCAGGCGATGTACAAGGTGCTCTGTATCTGTTCTCTCATTTAGCACATCGGAAGATTAACAGAAAAACTGAAATTGTCAGCAAAGTTAAAAAACCTCCAATTCTCAAAAATGATGAAATGTAAGTCTATAA